TAAACATTCTGTTATGTCATGTGGATAGATCGCCTGAATTGATCGTGGGAAAGGTGGAAAATGTCAGCGTACAGAAAGTTATTGTTGTAGGTGTCGACTATTCGTCGCATAGGTGAACGAATGCCCGCATTTGTACGACATTTACTAATTGCAAACAACTTGCGAACACGAATGTTGCGCTTGTGAACGGTTCTAGGAACAATATAGCATAAACGGTTGATCAAATCAGAGCAATCAAATTTGTTATTGATGATACCATGTAGTACCGTATATTCAAGAAGTTTACGTCTGGTCTGTAGGGAGAGCAAATTATATTTAGTCAACAGTTGGTTATATGATAAATAAGAGCCAAAACACCGGTAGTGCATGGCCCTAAGGTATTTACGTTGTACGCTTTCCAACAAGTCTGTATATTTTTTGTACAGAGGGTTCCATATTGGTATGGAATATTCCAATTGTGGACGGCAAGGCCTTGTAAAGGACCATGTATGAAGTAGGTTTACTAAATTCTATAGAGGATCTCATAATAAAACCATACATTTTAAATGCGTTCTTAACAATTTATTCTATATGTATATCCAAAACTAATTTACTATCTACAGTTACTGTAATTGTCATAATATTACTACATGTAATTATGATATTATTAATTATGATATTACTACAATATTAATTAAGTCACTGTAGATAATCCTAATTTAGAAGTGATATTTGCTTAAGGTCTAAAAATTAAATTAATATTTTGTAAAGTAATACAGTCAGAAAATAAAGGCTATATTTATTTTATTTCGGTTAAATCCTATATTTAGAACAGATTAGTTCTATAACAGATTAGTTTGTTCATCAATCCATAAATGCATCATAAAGTCTACTACACAGTCAGTTGAAGTTTGATTATATCAAATAACATGGCTATCGGTACTAGTTCATAATATTATTAATATTTGCAATACTATAAGGTTGGTATTAGGAGTTGATAGTTTAGCATCGATTATTTAAAGTTGACAAGAAGAAGAAAATGGAACCCGCCGAGTTACTTAGTGGCTGTTTTCACTTCAAAGTTCCCATTTTAACCGTAACTTCCAACATGACACAGGAGGTTTTTTGTTCATTATCCTTAAAGATTGATGTTCTTAATTACATACTTACTTGCTTTATTTCAATTACGTTATAAAATTCCAAATAAAACTAAAAGTACCTCTACATTTTGATAGATTTATTTAATCATTTAGTTTGGCTCAATATGTATTCTTCTTTCATACGTCTCGATCAGTCGTCATCTTATCATTCTTATATATACAAAAAAAAGAAATTGTTGAATATAATTAAATTTAATATACCGAACATCTAATGGATTATTTTTTAGAGGTTCTATTGAACTATGAAATGGGTTAAGAAAATAAAGCTGTTTCTGACTTCCCCCACTCGTACAGAAACAAAAATCAGCGTTGATATTTGCGTTGTTGAGTTTTCATTAATCATAGCGGATAACCAGAGGGCAATCTCGGAATGGAAGTCTATTCTTTTTACTAAAACTTGTATGTTCAACGAATAATGTATGTTCAAATATCCTAGGCTATAATAGCAAAGGTTTTAATAGAGATAATATAAATGTAAAAATATGTTCCAATTCATATTCTATTGAAATAAAAAATGTATATTCTTTAATCAATATACAAAAAGTGTTACCGATATATTTTTTTATGATATTTAAGGTTCGTATCGCCGAATTTCTCAGATATTATAATCATCATCATCAGCCTTTTTTCGTCCCACTGCAGGGGCTCAGGCCTTCCTTATGGATGGTTAACGAGGATGGGCCATGACCCTCCACGCTGGCCCAATGCGGATTGGAGGGTATTAACAACTGCAAATGCAGCCGGGACCAACGGCTTAACGTGCCTTCCGAAGCACGGAGTAGCTCGAGATAATAATTGTTTTTTGGTCACCCATACCGTGACCGACCCTTGCGAAAGTTGCTTAACGATAACGATCGCGGGCCGCGGCGGTTATTCACTACGTCACCTAGCTACTCCTACATTATAATGCCAAGCAGTCATTTCATGAAGCTTATCATTGTCTTACATAAAATGATGCCTTCTAATAACGCTCGCTTTTAAAGCTGGATTAGTAAAAAGCTGAGATTTCGCGATCTTCTGACCAATACGAACTATGTTCGTCTGTGAATTAAGAGCTACATAAAAATCATTCTATAAAGCATTTGAAAATCCATTTTATAAATTACGGAGCAGTTTCTTGATCTGTAATGTCTACCCTGTTCAAATTTATGGAGAAATATCACTGGATTATAATAAGTAGATCAAAAGTTTTTCAGGGTAAATAAATGCTTTCGATTCGGACGCGTTGGTGGAGACTTGTCGGAGAAAAGGTCATTCCGTGGGAACAAATTCTGAATTAGGTTTCTTCTTTGAGCAAGAAAAACTGTATTTTTAAATTACCAAATTAATTTTGGAAAACTTGTAAATTTTTATTACAAAGATACCAAATCAAATTGAAAAATATAGAGTCGAAGATAAGTTTTCTTTTGATAACATTATTATGCTATGGTTTACTTGTTTATATTTAAAGACAAACCCATGGCTTCAATGGCCGAGTGGTTCCCAAGTCATCTCTGAGGTCCCGGGTTAGATTCCTGGTCAGGTCAATGTAGAAAATAAACTTTTCTATATTTTCTCAGGTTTGGGTGTTGTGTTTATTATTTATATAATAATTTATGCATTATCGTACAAAGACGATATACGACGGTAGGTATACTTTCGTTGTTTTAGACTACTATGGACAGATACTTGTAGATAATATAAGCTTATTTTTTAAAATTTGCCATTGCCATTATACAAATGCTATAGTTCCTATCTTATTTATATGTCATGTCTTATATTATAAACCGTATATTGGTATATGTGTACTATATAAGACAGACACAAGTAGGTATCAATATTCATATAAGAGTAATCATTTAAGCAAATACTTTTAACCAACAGACAAGAATTGAACTGTCAATAACTATTCCGTATATTTAATATAATATTTTTAAACAATGAAAATACAGTAAGAAATTATCGAAAGTTTTTACTTAATATCTATTGTTTAAAAATACTCAAGTGATTATTTCGACTCGACTTCCTATAGATACGAGTGTTAGAACTTATTCAAAAGGAAGCTGCCTTAATTACATGGCCACGTCATGTACAGAAATCTATAATTTATATATTATCAAATTCTAATCTTATTGTAAAACGAAGACCAACTTCAGTACCTAATTATAGCCTTATTCGGCCAATTAGTCTCAATTTGACGGTTTCTCTTCTGTCATTGTTAACTTGCTTTGGTGGCTGTTGGTTTAAACCACAAAAATAAGGCTCCGAAACTAAATCGATTTTAAAAATTCTTTTATCAAAGGGTAGCTACATCATATACGGTGGACAAAAGTTATATTTTATCGAGAAAAACTGCTTATATAGGGATAAAAATGAGAGCGGACGTTGGTATAGGGAATTAAAACGTTACCATAAAAACATTGTTTATTTTTCGTTTATCATTGTTATTATATCCGAATCACGATACGTTCAATTTATACAACGATTTTACACACGTGTAAATAATCTTGCTAATATTTAACCCGCTAAACAGTTCCCTAGGGTTCACGCGGGCGTAGCCGCCGGAGGAAAGCTAGTTTTTTTATATATTTCTCTAGTTTAAACTAAGTACTTCTTTAGTTGCCGTTTTATATAAAATGGATAATGATTTTACCGTATAATTATGAAATATCAACTAAATAATAATTACTTATCCAGTTAATTAATATGTCCGATATAGAGACAAAAGAACTAATTTGAAAACTATGTAAAATATTATTATGATTAAATGTACTAATTAAGACATAGTAAAATATAAGTAAAAAAAAATACAAACTGATATGTTTTGACGAAGGTCTGATAATTTTGAGTAATTTCAAAATATTTTATATTATTAGTAAATTAAAAATTAAAGACCTATGAATTTGAAATAAGGCAAATATAAATATCAACGCTTTGTTCTACACATCATGCCATCATGTTATGCCTTATTTTTTTTTAATTCATAGTGTATTATTTTGCACTGTTTGCTTTCGAATAATCGTGAAAGTACTATTATTAACCTGACAGCTGTATAACCATCCAATGCTAATAATAAGTGTTAAAATTTGGAACATACTTGGTGATGGCTAAGAGGTTTAAAATCTTGGTCTTTGGTCCATCAGAAACATGCTTTTTTTTAAGATTTTTCCACAATATCCACAATATCGTAGTAGCTATTGGCCTACTCAACGCCGTCTTCAGGATGTGAGGAGGTAAGTGTGTTACAAGTCTATAATCGAGTTGTTCGAGGATATTGCATCCGCCGTGCGGTCGGTGGCTGGAGATCGGTACACACTGGTAACAAATTGTATTTCAGAAGAATTTTAGAATTAAATTGTGTTATAGTTCGGCTGTCCAAAACCAAAGCCTAGCAAGTACATCTGATCTAATTATACAGGAGACGACTTTAAATATTTTCTTCTGCCATTTAGAATAGAATTCCTTCTGTATACTTATCTTTATTTCTTACGAATAATTAGAAATTGTTTTACTTTGTGGAATAGTAAAATTTAATATAAGTGCATTTAGACAATTTTTATGTGCCTTGCTAATTACTGTTTTAGATACTTCAAAATATGTATGACACTAAATCAATAGCAAAAACCTAGTAACATCTCTTCCTAGGTTTTTAAATTGGTTTCTATAAAGGTTATGTTTTAGATCTAACATTAAATACCTAGTAAAGACATTTACTAGATTTTTGAATTAGATTCTTAATTACTTTTGTATATGTAATGTCGCATTTCATCCTAGTAAGTAGCATAATGATAGTAAAAAACCGGAAGCTTAAAATAAAATAGTTTGATTATTGACAAACATAAGGTACATAATCATCTTTTCACATAATAGCACAATATAAAATCATATTTCTTCCGCCATTTCGCCTTCAGTTTGGAGATCAATAGATTCATCGTTTACAGGCATTTGATACCAAAACGTTCGTCTTGTTTCTGGCATTAAAGGCACCAGTTTGGCAATAATCACATCCTTTTTACGACTGGGAATGCCTCGAGGAACTGATTTTTCTTCAGGTAGCCCAATTACTTTATAATTTTTAGGTAGGAAATCCAACTCGAGAAATGGTTCATCAAATCTGAAAATAACAATAGTCATAAATCAACGGAAAATATTTTAAGTTTCATTATACACATCTACTCAACTATTAACATTTACTATTACCTTGTTTTATAAAGAATGTTCCTCGAGCCAGCAACGAATTTTACTTGGACAACTTGTTTGAGCAAGAAAGTTTTCATCAAGTCTTCATCATCGTTTTTCCTTAATGCTCTTTTTTTCTTTGGCCAGTTCCTACAATAACTTAAATCTATGACTTTTATATTTTGCCTTGAACTATTTACGACATCTTTAAAATCTTCGAAATCCAAAACATCTCCTTGTCTTTTAATTTTTCTTTCAATGTTTCCATGCACTGAATCTGCAGTCATATGTGTATGTCCTTTTGTCAAGTAACTTAAAGTCACAGTCTCGATGGCACTTTCTGTGTTTACAATTGTGGTCAAAGCCGTAAATAGGGTCCAGTTTTTATTTTGGGCAGTACAATTATCAGCCCAAATATGAAAATGCTGGCAATCTCTTTCATTCTTTATGAATGTCAAAATAGCATCAACTATGTTGGAAGTCTTTCGACCGGCGTGACCTTCGTGCCAAACTATGCAAGTAGCTGAATCAGGAGATTGCTTATTGATAGGAGCGAAAGTAAGATTAAATGTAATTAATCGACTTATAAAAACAGCTTCTTTAATTTGGGGCATAATAGGCAGCAAAATTACTTTTTGTAAATCCATTGAAAAATACTTTACATGCTTAGAATTCTTCTGTGTCGCATCAATTTTGTAATTTTCGAGAGCTTGATCAGATTTAGTTTTATGTAACGCAAACCTTTGCTTTAGATCGTCTGGCATAACAGATTCATCCGTGTACTTCTTTTTTTCTTCTAAATAAAAAAAACATTCATCGCATTTGTCTCCTCTTGGCATGTTAAACGAAATTTTCATTTTTTTAATCTCCTTCCTGTAAGTTTCATTAGAACATTTGGCTTCCGGGTATTTCCTCTTAAAATCGCTGTACATTTCGCGTATAGTTAATTCTCTCGGCAAGTATTTTGTGAAAGGTGAATTATGTCTACGATAGTGACTGACAGCTGGTTTGTAACTAAGAATATGTTCTTGGAGTAAATTTTTGTTAATCTCTTTTCTTTTTCCGCCTCTTTTTTCACCAGCCAAAGATGCATATAATTGACCCTTCTTTAAAGCTTTTGATAATTCAGTTATAGATCCATCAGTTCTCAATCCAAGTGTATCTAGAAAAAATCGCTTACAGACGGGAACCAAATCTTTATCTTTTCCTGGCAGGTGATAATAACGTATTTCGTTTCTAGACGGAACAGCAGAAGTAGTAGCGATCTTTAGTCTTTTTATTTCTGCCAATTGAATAAATTTATTTAAAAATGACCTCCTTGCCTGAAATTTTAAATTCCAATACTGTTCCCAAATAGCCAGTCTGTCCTGCTCTGAAAATTTTAAACATTGTCTCTTACACTTTCCATCGCAGAGGCTACGTAACATAGGGTGCTTTATCATATGTTTATTTTTAAAGATGCTATCGTTGGGAGCATTATTTGAAATAAAAATTGGCCCGGGATATTGCGCAATAAAAATTGGCCCTGTGTTCTTTATAATATCAGTCACTGGTAGAATGCATTCTTGTGTTTTTTGATGTGGCGTAATCATAGAGGTATGGGAAATTGTATCATCGCATGAAGCTATATTCTCACTAAAATCTGTGCTCTCATTAAAATTTGGATCTGGTAGATATAATGGATCTGCGACAGAGTCATCGTCACTAAAGTCGATAAACTCATCGAGGTAAGATGTATCTGTAATGGATTCAGCGTGCATGCCTGAACCAGAAGGTTGTGATTGTGCATAGTGGTTGGTGACATGAGTGCTAGAAGCAGAAGTACTCGTGCATGGCTTTGGTTGTATACCAAAAGGTGTGTTATTATTAGTTGCAGAGGTGCTAGAGAGAGAGAAAGCAAAACGCACACATTATTTCACGTGTAACAAACACCACACAAATAATAATAATAAATAACGTCAGAGTGGAGAAGACATGAGGCTACAGGTTAACTTTTGATCCCCATAGTTTTAATTGTCACGTTTATAGTAATAACGAAAACGAAATTTTAAAATCTAGAATAATCACTACTGATATCAAGTATACATATATCTAAACATGTATAAAAAGATTTATACCTATTTACATCTAAATCTTTTACAGATTTCTCTCCACTATGACCTTAGTTATTGTAAAAGAAAGAAGAAGCCATGTTAGTATTTAATGTCAATACTTTAATAGAAACCCAATCATAGCAGCAAGTACATTGTTACGCCAGGCGTATGCCCCTTTCGCACACAGTAGGTACACTTCGGTTTAGCTAGCTAGTCCCATATCCACAACAAAAATGTAATGATTACTTATACCGGTAATTAAATAAAAGTATTACATATAAATACCTTGAAAGAGCTGCTGCTACCATCCGCCTTGATCTATCAGTATTCATTTTATTTAAGAATAAAATAAATAAAATTATTCCTTACTACATTACCACCGCGTGGCCGTTAAGTTCCAAATGAGCGAGTCAAAACTTGTCGAGGCGGCCGAGGTGCGACGCAGGAGTATTGCCCCTCCCCCACCTCATGCGTACACAACGTGCGCCGACATTGACTTACTATTATATTGCTATATACTTCAGTAGTTTTTTAAATCAAAGTACGGGACGATTCCAACTTTAAAAACCTAGTAAAATTCCAATTTCAATTTCAAAAGCCTAGTAAATTCAATTTGCAAATTCAAAAATCTAGTATGTATAGTATTTGATAGGATTTTGAACTTGGAAATGTTACTTACTAACTTTTTCATTTTGTAACCTCCGAGTACAAAGGGCACTTACTAGGTTTGAGCATGTTCATAACTTTGATTCTATATAAGATAGAAATACAGTTGTTTTTGGTATAGACGTAGCAAAAAATTTTGGAAATATTGGTTTTAAAAAACGTGTTTGAAGAAAAATGTCCCTTGCTAGGTTTTGGTTTTGGACAGCCGAGTTGTACTCAAAATATTGTTTTTTAATCTTCTGTAATTTTTAACACCGTTTAGTTATTTTATCTAAAATATGTTTTAAAATATTCAATCATTAGGTTCGATAGGGTTTAAGTTTTTCTGTAAGACAAATATTAAGAAGTTGGGCAGAAGGCTATGTTTTGGCAACTGCCCCCTTTTGACCTTTTGGTAATTCAACGCATTCTAAATAATGCATGCAGTATATTAATATGTGCAGCGTGCATGGCAAATCTATTACAGTCAACAGCTGTGTCAAAGTTTACTTCCTTGCTCTTTGAATGACCAAAATCAGGTTGTCTACACTATATTAAATTTTAATTTATTTTTTCACCTATTATCCTATTTGGCATAAATTTGAAAGGGCAGCATCTAACTATAGAACTACTTTCGTATTGTCATTGTTGATAGTTAAAACCTTCTTATGATATTGAAAACAAATTTTTATATAACAAAAACTAGTTTTCGCCAACGTCTTCGCCCTCGTGGTCCCTAGGGAAATGCTTAGTGGGATAAAAAGTTATTTTTAATTATTTTTTTCCTATTATATAAGTCAGCTAATACCTTATACGTATATCAAATTTCATCCGTTTCGTAGTTTCCGTTTAGTAGTTTCGGCGTGATTGAAGAACTAACATTCACATTTATGATATTACTGGGATTAAATCGATGAAAATAAACTAGCAAATGCTCTTTGATGATGAAACTCGGAAAGACCATGATACCACTTTTTAATATATTAGAACAAAGCCCCTATTTGTTATTGTCTCAACCAAAGAATCAGATAATTTCAATTGCCTCTTGTAGTTCTTAGGCGTTTTCATTACAAAAATAAAACTGCAATTTAAATAATTTCTTTCGTTTAATTATTCTATCGTATGGTATCATAAAAGTAGCCAAGGCCAAAATGTCTCAATAGGGTCAGTGGGTGGTTTTATTATTACTGTGGTGATTCATAGTAGGTATGCAATTAATTTTATTTCCAGTAAATTCTTGTTATAAAAATCCGTGAAGTGAGTCCCGGTCTCGAAAAATTAAGTTAGATTTTCAATTTTTCTGAAGAACAGTAAATGAAATTAGGTTTTGTGAACAATTTTATTTATTATTATAAATTATCATCTTAATTTCATATTTAAACTGTAACGGTCAGTTGCACAAATATACTTAAAGGTTTAATAGAAAAAATACGCTTCATTTATTTCATGAAAAACGGCAATTTCATAGGGATAGACCTAATATAATAATAAGAAAAAGAGTGACAAAAATTAAGCTACTAATAGAGAGAAGTGCTAGCGATAGTGTGTGTGCACTGCGTATGTATTGTGGATGTTGTAATTTGGAGTCACATAAAGGTAAGAAAACTTGTTTTGCATGCGGTAAATAGGTGCAATGTCTTGGTGTAGATAACGAAGATGAAGACACGAAGTTTAGGTATGAAATGTAAGTGAACAGATTAAAAGAAAATCATTTTGCTTCTTAGGGTACCTTATCTTACCCGCGGGTGGGGCATGACGGGGAGATATGATTTTTAAAAATTTAAAAAATTTTCATTAAATTGCGTTATCAGAAACATTGGCCTTATCAGACTTAATTACAAAAGGCTAATTAACAATGATTGTTTTAAAATAAACAAAAAAAAACTTAGTATAAACGTGAAATGTCTTTATTTATTAAGTTTCTACCATAACCTTCCCAATTTTCCCCTTATTATTAAACTAGTCAACATGAAAATTATCCACTCCAACTTCATACAGTAAATATGAATTTATTAAATAATATACTCGTACCTACTAAGCTTTTTTACAAGAACATAGGTAATTAGTTTATTTTATTACATGTGGATTGCTATTGCGAAAATATTTCACATCTTATATTGGATATTGCTAGGAAATGATGTTTATTAGGGAATGTAACGATATTTCTATCGGCTTTTACGTTCAATATACTGTGAAGAGTAAAAAAATGTGGCTGATTGACTACCGTAGATTCGAGAGAGTGCGGGAAAATATTATTGTTTTTATGAAATTTATAAGGCCGTAGATTATATATTATACCCAAATGTATTTCTTGGAGTTCGATAAATTAACAATTAAATAGCAGTATCATAAAGAAATAACCGATGGATTAATATCTAAATGTCTAAACCTAAGATCTTACAGACTTGGAAACCTTTTCAACATAAAATAATAAATTTCAACGTAAAATTTTATAAGTGTTTAAAAGTTGAAAAATATCTTACTCTAATGACCACATCATGCGAAGGATTTGAAAAGTACAATGTTTACTTTACCTGAAAAAACTACCATTAAATAATATTTAATGTAATTTTTTCTTATTTTGCTTACAAAATTTAAATATCAAAAGAAATAAAATTATTTAGTATTGACTAGTCGTTAGACTTTAAGTTTTTAAAGAATGTCTCAAGTAAAATAACAAAGGAATTTTTTTAAAGGCTCTAATTTTTACTCTGTGCACCTGATCCAACGGAAACTACTAATGGATGCAGTAAATTGGACAGTAACGCAATTGCAAAACTCTTTCGAGCCTAATATGTCTGCACTCGAATCAATTCTGTATAGATAAAAGAGTTTAAAAAATGTTTAGTTATAAAAATTTTATACATCCTACTGATTACTATTTTTGCTATGGACTTTAGGATTGTAAACGCTCGAGCATTAACAATTATATATTAAATTTACTTTTAATTAGAAGTGATTCCGTTTATAAGAATTAAAATAGCCGATATGGAATATAAAGTTACCACAATATCAAGGTAGTCATTTTTTTTAGTATTTAAAAAAAGGTAATTTAAAAGAGTTATTATTCGTATATTCATCACAAAACACTAAATAAGACTTATACCGGTCTGAACTAAACGATAAGATATTAATATTTTATTACTCGAATGCCTTTGTTACGAAGTCGATAAAGTTCACTCTAGATTTTCTATATCGAAATTGTGCTTGTTAAATATATCTAAGTGTGGGTAGTAAGTGGGGTACAACGGACAAAATGCCACGGGTCTCGTAGCCGGAAGGGACCTCCAGTCGGAAAAAGCCGAGGGAATAAGAGGATCCCGACATTTATACATAATTTAGCAAAATTTTCGATGGCTCTCAAACGATATAGTCACGAAACTTCGTATGGGTTAAATCGCGTTGGTAAATAAGAGTAACTACGTTTATGATTTATGTCTAATTAATGTTACATATATAGATATATAGTCAAAGAGGCAATGTGTAAACTATTATTAACTAAATACCTATAGAATATGACAAAATTGTTTTATAAGGTACATTTTCGGAACAGCTACTGAAAGGGGAAAAAGGATAATCTTGAACCAATCGCAAGCAATGACAGGATTCCTGAAAAGAAATATTATTTCGTAAATTCTATAACTCTAATGATGATATGTTTGGATTTTTTGTATATGTTTTCTTATTACCGTATTTGTATTTAAATAAAATCCCTCATTCAGTGAAAGAAATCCAACCTGAGCTAATACTTTGATAAAAAAATCCCCCAAAATGATTCTCCGGTGATAATAATTCCGAAAACAAATTATAAGGAAGGAGAATTATAAGGCCATAAAATAATACTATATATATGAATTTGCAAGTAGAAGACCTTTTCGTTTAAACCAGACATTTATTATTAAAACTTAAATTTTATTATACGTGTCCTTTTTTGTTTGATATGGGTTAGCAATTTGGCATAACTTTGTCCAGTTTTATTGTAGTGTAAGTAGCTGTTTCCGCGACTTCACATGCGCATTTATCGCCTATGTTCTTTCTCATACAACCGCGTATGATGTATTAGTTACATGCCTATACGAAATAATTTTTAATATCGGTTCCGATTTTCTGAGTATTCGATGCAAACAAACAATAAAATGTTTCCTTATAATATTAGTATAACTTTTATAAAAGCTTGTATTATTTCATTTTTTTAACAATTTTATTTATTTTTGTAATTCTTGTCTTTTCATTGACATTGACCATATTTTGAAACTTGGTGATCCGCCATCTAGAGCTATATATCCATACTAGATTAAAATTAAAGTAACTTAGCTAACCATGCATTGTCATCTCAACTAAAGTTATATATAAAATTGTGGCATTTTTTTTACCTAAATTTAAAATTAAACTTTATAAATAGTATCCATTTGTTTGTATTATAGTTGTAGTATTTATTGTAATTGATACTTTTACGAACATTTTTTTAAAGAAATAATATATAACTCGTTGAACAAGTAATTGTCTAAACATTTTTTATTCTTTGGAGTTTTAAATCTAGCTTCACGAAATTTTCGTTTTGCATCCTATCTCTTGGCAATGATCTCCGGGTTGCTCCGATAAAGAAGCGGCTTGGAACTGAGCCTTCAAGGGAACAAGGATATAGTTGGTTTATTTTTCGGTAACAGAATAGTTATTTATCTTATAG